CCACACAGGCATATATATACACCTCATATAAAACCACACAGGCAATATATATACCTCATATAAACCACAGGCATATATATACACCTCATATATAAACCAAATAGCTATATATACACCTATATATAAACCACAGGCATAATATACACCTCATATATAAACCACACAGCATATATATACACCTCATATAAACCACACAGGCATATATATACACCTCATATATAAACCACACAGGCATATATACACCTCATATAAACCACACAGCATATATATACCCTCATATAAAACCACACAGTATATATACACCTCATATATAAACCACACAGGCATATATATACACCTCATATATAAACAATATATACACCTCATATATAAACCACAGTAATATATATATAAAACCACAGGCATATATATACACCTCATATATAAACCACACAGGCATATATATATATACATCATATATAAACCACACAGACAGGTGGGCTAGCCTCATTTTCAGGTTCACCTGTAACAAATAGGTAATTAAACCGCCTGTAATAAACCAGGAGGATTCTAATGGTGATTATTATTATTATTATTATTATTATTATTATTATTATTATTATTATTATTATTATTATTATTACACACATGACAAATTTCTCACTTCCTTCCCCGTCCAAGACCATAACTCATTCCAGCACTCAGGAACTACTTTACTTTATTACGTCATTACTAAAGAAAACGAAGTCAAAAGAGATAAAGAAAACGAGAAGTTGGTGGGGAGTGGGGTCAAGGGGATTTTCTAAATCTTAAAAGCTAAAGGAATTCCATAGTGGCAAATTTAATCAGTAAATGCCATCACGACTGAAAAATCTCACCATTTGAATCACCCAATCTCTATTGATGTGTGGTGTGGGTTGATGGGGTGGTGTCGATGGATGTGGGTGATGGTGTAGTGTGGTTGACGTGAGGTGGTGGGTTGATGTGGGGTGGTGTGGTGTAGTGTGGGTTAACGTGGGTGGTGTGGGTTGATGTGGGTGTAATGGATTGATGTGGGTGTAGTGTGGGTTGACGTGAGGGTGGTGTGGGTTGAAGTGGGTGATATGGGTTGACGTGGGATGGATAAACAAACAAACAAAGACACAGACAGACAGAAATCTGAACAAATCGCAAAATCGACTCCAAAATCGTACAAAATCTGAAGGTAAAATTCCCATTACACAACACTGACATAAACCACAAGGGCTCTCGTGTTTCAGGGTTATGTAATGGTGATGTCAGGTTAAGTTATGTTAAATCCGGGTTATATTTTTTATTAATAAGACCGGTCGACTAATTTCCTATTTTTTACCAGAATATAAAATGTCTGCTGGACTGGGGTCATTGGGACTGGGGCTATAGACTGGGGTCTATTGGGACTGGGGTCTATTGGGACTGGGGTCTATTGGGGATCTCTGGGGTCTATTGGGACTGGGGTCTATTGGGACTGGGGATCTATAGGACTGGGGTCTATTGGGACTGGAGGTCTATTGGGACTGGGGCTCTATAGGACTGGGGTCTATTGGGACTGGGGGTCACTGGGGTCTATTGGGACTGGGGTCTATTGGGACTGGGGTCTATTGGGACTGGGGGTCTATTGGGACTGGGGTCTATTGGACTGGGGGTCTATTGGGACTGGGGTCTAGACCGGGGGGGTCTATTGGGACTGGGGGTCTAGGACTGGGGTCTATTGGGACTGGGGTCTATTGGGGACTGGGGGTCTATTGGGACTGGGGGTCTATAGGGACTGGGGTCTAGTGGGACTGGGGTCTACTGGGACTTGGGGTCTATGGGACTGGGGTCTATAGGGACTGGGGTCTAGTGGGACTGGGGTCTATAGGGACTGGGGTCTATAAAGACTGGGGTCTACTACAGGATGGGTCTACTTGGACTGGGGTCTACTGGGACTGGGGTCTACTGGGACTGTGGGCTAAGGCGTGAAGAAGACCATAAAGGTTATTTAAGGTTTTTTCTAAGGGGTAGGGAGAGGTCCAAGGGAGGGTAGGGCCCAAGGGAGGGGTAGGGGCCCAAGAGAGGGTAGGGTCCAAGGGAGGGGTAGGGGTCTAAGGAGGGGGTAGGGATCTAAGGGAGGGGGTAGGGCCAAGGGAGGGGTAGGGTGAGGCCTCAAGGGAGGGGTAGGAGGGTCTAAGGGAGGGGTAGGGTTTAATGGCGGGTTGTGTTGTGTTGACAAACATCACTAATGGCGTAGACAGTTATATAAACACCCCCAGTCCATCACCTCACACGCTGTACCGGATGTTGTGGTACCGGGATGTTGTACCGATGTTGTGGTACCGGGATGTTGTGTACGGGATGTTGTGGTACCGGGATGTTGTGGTACTGGGATGTTGTGGTACTGATATTGTGGTACTGGATGTTGTGGTACTGATGTTGTGGTACCGGATGTTGTGGTACTGGGATGTTGTGGTACTGGGATGGGATGTTGTGGTACCGGGTGTTGTGTACACATGTGGTACGGATGTTGTACGATGTTGTGGTACGAATGTTGTGGTACTGGATGTTGTGGTACTGGATGTTGTGGTACCGGGATGTTGTGGTACCGGAATGTTGTGGTACGATTTTGTAGGATGTTGTGGTACCGGAATGTTGTGGTACGATGTTTGGTACGAATGTTGGTACCGTGATGTTGTGGTACCGGAATGTTGTGGTACTGGGATATTGTGGTACCGATGTTTATTTTATGTACATTTAAACTTCTCTCTCACACACACACACAAAACATAACACGTACACACCCACACACACACACACACACACACACACACACGCACACACACACACACACACACAGGAGAGGAAGATGGGTGTGTGTGTGTGTGTGTGTATGTATGTATGTCTGTCTGTCTGTCTGTCTGTGTCTTCCTGTGTATCTGTATGTTTCTACGTGTGTGTGTGCAATAATAATAATAATAATAATAATAATAATAATAATAATAATAATAATAAAAGGTTTATTAATAGAGTTGCAGCCGGTGGCTGAAAATATACACTTACATTTGATTTAGACATAATGATGTAATATGCATTGAATACATTTACAGGGCTGTACAGTACATAAATCAGAGTTGTTTATTATTTTAACAATAGATGGGATGGTGCTGTTCTTATATCTATCAGTGCGGGCTCTTATGGGCTGAATTTTGTTGTAGTGGCGGACTGCGCGAGGTGGGTGGGGGCTGCTGGCAGGAGGTGGCACGAGGATGGTGCAGTAGTTCACGGCCAAACCTTGCTAGTGCTTGGTGTGTGTGTGTGTGTGTGTGTGTGTCTGTCTGTCTGTCTGTCTGTCTGTCTGTCTGTCTGTCTGTGTCTACTTGTGTATCTGTATGTTTCTACGTGTGTGTGTGTGTGTGTTCCTTCCTTCTCCTCCTCCTCCTCCTCCTCCTCCTATTACTTCCTGCTCCTTCTTTTACTCCTTTCTTCTCCCTCCTTTACTATTCTCTCTCCTCCTATTCTTCCCTCTCCCCTTCCTCCTTCCCTCTCTTTTCACCCCTCCTCCTTTTCCTACTTCTTCTCCTCTTTCACCCCATCTTCTTTCACCCCTCCTCCTTCCTTCACCCCTCCTCCTTCCTTCAACCCTCCTCCTTCCTTCACCTCTCCTCTTCCTTCACCCTTCCCTCCTTCACTCCCCCTCCTCCTTCCTTCACCCCTCCTTCTTCCTTCTCACCCTCCTCTTCCTTCACCCTCCCTTCCTTCACCCCTCCCCCCTCCTTCCCACCCCCTCCCCCCTCCTTCTTCACCCCCTCCCTCCTTCACCCTCCCTCTCCTTCACCTCTCTCCTCCACCCTCCTCCACCCTCCTCTTCCTCCACCCCCTCCTCTCCCCTCTCCTTCACCCCCTCCCCTCCTTCACCCTTCCTCCTTCACCTCTTCCCTCCTTCAACCCTCCTCCTCTTTCCTTCACCCCTCCTTCCTTCACCCCTCCTCCTTCCTTCACCCCTCCCCTTTCCTTCTTCACCCCCCCTCCTCCTTCACCCTTCCTCTCCTTCACCCTCCTTCCCCCTCCTTCCTTCACCTCCTCCTTCACTCCTCCTCCTTCACCCCTCCTCTTCACCCCCTCCTCCCTTCACCTTCCTTCACCCTCCTTCCTTCACCCTCCTCCTTCACCCCCCTCCTTCACCCTCTTCCTCCTTCACCCCTCTTCCCTCCTCACCCCTCCTCCTTTTCCTTCACTCCTCCTTCCTTCACCCCCTCCTCCTTCCTTCACCCCTCCCCTTTCCTTCACCCCTCCTTCCTTCACCCTCTTCCCCTCTCCTTCACCCTCTCTCCTTCTTCAATCCTCCTCCTTCCTTCACCCCTCCTTCCTTCACCCCCTCCCTCCTTCACCCTCTCCTCCACCCCTCCTCCTCAGTTCTTTCCCTTCTCACCGTTCTTAATGTTTTACTGCAGTCTTCTCCTTATGCCTTGTTGGCTGTCACTTGTTCCGCTTCTGTGGTCGTCTTGGGTCGTAGAGGTCGTCTTGAGAGGTGGTGGTGGTCGTGGAGGTCATCTGGAAAGGTGGAGGTCGTCGGGTGGTGGGTGGAGGAGGCGGTAGTAGTGGTCGTCATGGGAGGAGGTAGTCGTGATAGTGGTCGTCTTAAAAGGAGGTGGAAGTGGTAGTCGTCTTGAGGCGGTGGTAATGGTGGTCATCTTGAGTGGTGTGGTGGTCGTAATAGTGGTCGTCTTGGGTGGTCGTGGTTGTTGGTTGTCTTGGGTGGAGGTGGTGGTTGATTTTGGAGGTGGTCGTGGAGGTGGTGGTGGTGGTAGTTGTCTTGGGTGGAGGAGATGGTAGTAGTGGTCGTCTTGAGAGGTGGTGGTGGTCGTCTTGAGAGGTGGTGGTGGTCGTCTTGGGCAGAGAAGATGGTAGTAGTGGTCGTCTTGAGAGGTGGTGGAGGAGGTGGTAGTGGTGGTCGTTTTAAGAGGAGGTGCTTATGGTGGTCGTCTTGGGTGGTGGAGGTGGTGGTAGTAGTGGTCGTCTTGAGAGGTGGTGGTAGTCGTCGTCTTTGGTAGTAGTGGTCGTCTTGGGTGGAAGAGATGGTCGTGGTGGTCGTCTTGAGAGGAGGTGGTGGTCGTCTTTGGTGGAGGTGGTGGTAGTAGTGGTCGTCTTTGGTGGAGGAGGCGATGATGGTGGCGGTGGTGACGTGGTAATCCCGTCAGGAGTATTAGCAGTCAGCTGAGCGGTGGTGTTGGTGGAGTAACCCGTCAGTAGTGCACAGGTGACCACTGCCTCCTCACCCTCTGCGCTCCCACTCATCTTGATTACTAAGATGTCTCACCTGTACTCACCTGCGTGCACTGGGTCATTCCCTGCGCAGGTGACCTTGTTTTCTAGGTGATTTTTGTAAAAGTGACTTCGTTTCCCGAGCGACATCTGAACCCTCTTGGATGTCACGTAGTACACTTAGGATAAACCCGCCAAGTGACTTCGTTTCCCGGGGTAACTTGACCCCTCCTGGACTAGTGATTGGGATGAACAAGAGATTCTCAGAGATGGTTTGAAGGTGACCATCCCCGTCCAGGTGTTGTGAGGAACCTTGCAGTGATCGCGGGGCTCTCAAGTGTTCCCGGGAGCGTTGCTTGTTGTGTAAACTAGTGATCGCCAGGTGAACAGGTGATGACCGCTTAAAATAAGTGTTAAATAGGTGAACAAGAAGGTGGCCTTGTGGATATGTGAGGCCAGAGTGCTTAGTCACCCGTGACAGAGTGGACTGATCCTCTCCAGGTACACGAGTTGTGAAGTGTTTGATAGGTGGATTACTTAAGTGAATTTGAGGGACTTTCTCAACTTGCGGCCCCTTAAATAGCCTTTGGTTGTATAAAGTCTTTATAACGATATATTAATGTAATTATGATTAATATATACTAAAGCCTTGTGCTCTTGTCCCCACCAAGTTAACTCCGAGAAAGTGGAGTGACGGAGAAAGTGGAGTGAAAGATCCGTGACGCCCCTCCACAAGAAATCACATCTGGAGTTACCAGGAGTTGTGCTGTTAACATAAAGAACAAATGGATGTAATTGAAGGATCCCCGCGACTGTTCAGCTGAGGCCCCAGTGGTGGCGCGAAATAAGGTGTTGGTGGGCGTGTGGTGTAAGACGTGGGAGGGATGAAGGGAGACACGGGTGACCAGTGTGGTCATGGATGAGCCTCAGCTGCCGCCGTGCACGCCCGTCCGCCAGACGGAGCCTTCACATTGTGACTACAACCCCACCACCTTCTACACCTACGGTTACGATACACAGCATCGTGTGGAGGCCGAGGTCCATTCTGGCCCCCCCTCCACGCCGCCCCCACACGTCCCCAACGGACCCTTACTCAACGGGCCTTACATCATCCCCAACGGGCCTTACTACATCCGTAACGGGACCACTGCCGCTGCCATGGGCGGCCCACAGTCCGGCACAGAGGCCCAGGTCACCCATCAGTCACCCGCCTTCACCACCTTCGGTCGACCTTCTCCAGGAGTGGCCCCCGTCCCTCCTGGGGGGTCACTACTCTACTCGGGGACGTTAAAACGCAACCCCCCTCAGGTGCGTCAGCGCCCCCTGGACCCCCGGGTGGAACAGTTAAGGGGCCAACGACCCCCTAAGGTCATCGCCTCTCCCTCCCCTCTGGGTCGTAATGGGTTTTGCCGACCCCGCCGGGTGACCTTCCTGGTTGAACCCGTCCCCGAGGTTGATGAAGACGACGAGGACGACGACGATGACGACGACGAAGAACTCCGCTTCATTCACGGCAACGAGGACGATAACGAAGATGAGCACGAGGACGAGAACGGTGACAAATTGGGTTTTCAGCCGACAGAGGGCGGGAGGTCCCCCTTGAGGCAGCGGCACAGTGTTGGCCAGGAGAGTGTGGCCAAACCCCCCGGCCACCAACCCCGCTCCTTCACAGGTGAGCCCCCCCCCCCATCCCGGCACAACGTAAAGGTCCTGAAGGACAAACTTTTTACATGTCAACACAGAGTGAACCACAAACTGCTCATAGTTAAACACACTGCAGGAGGTGCAGTCCGAGACACTCAGGTTGAACCCAGTTTTCTCTTGTTGTTCTCTCATTTCCTTCTCATGTCTTTCTCCCTTCCGCCTGGGGGAGATATTGGAGACCTTGAATACCCCTGAGTAAGATCACACGACTTGTTGGGTTGAGAGGAGGACATGACCACGACCCATGACTATCCAGGTCATGTTTCCTCTCTTGCTGTTGACCTCACAAGATCACAACCTGTATTTAACTCCTCAGACTCTAACCATCAAAGTATCGTACGTATAAAAATCTCTCGCAACTTGAGACGCAAAAAAACAACAACTAAGAACGAATCTAACTGAATCACCTTAAACTACAACACTAAATAGGAATTCTCAGTCGTTCTTAGGTTGAATTTTCCCTCAATGGCGTCTCTCTCTCTCTCTCTCTCTCTCTCATTTTTTATTCATCTCTCTATATCACTATTTATCTAATTATCACCTGTTTGTTTGGCTGAATTTTTATATATTTGTGTACCGATGATTCTTACGAGCTATCCATATTATTATTATTATTATTATTATTATTATTATTATTATTATTATTATTATTATTATTATTATTATTATTATTATTATTATTATTATTATTATTATTATTATTATTATTATTATTATTATTATTATTATTATTATTGTTATTGTTATTATTATTATTATTATTATTATTATTATTATTATTATTATTATTATTATTATTATTATTATTATTATTATTATTATTATTATTATTATGATTATTATTATTATTATGATTATTATTATTATTATTATTATTATTATTATTATTATTATTATTATTATTATTATTATTATTATTATTATTATTATTATTATTATTATTATTATTATTATTATTATTATTATTATTATTATCAGTGTTCTTATTACTATCATTACTATAACCATCTTTACGTTATCACCATTATGACCACCAAGTACATGCTCGTGTGTCTGGTATGTAACTAGACCAGTTTCATGAATACTAATTATCATTATGGAGTCAATTGAGCCTTAATTAATAGTGTAATTGAATAATATTATACTGAACACTAACAGCCATGGTTATTAAGCACCCTCTCAACCACTATACTGTCTGTCTGTCTGGTTGTCTGTCTGTCTCGGTCGGTCTGTCTGTCTGGGTTCTGTCTCTGTCTGTCTCGGTCTGTCTGTCTGTCTGTCTGTCTGTCTGTCAGTGGTCTGTCTGTCTCTCAGTCTGTCTCTCAGTCTGTCTGTCTGTCTGGTTGTCGTCTGTCTCAGTCGGTCTGTCTGTCGGGTTGATATATAAATAAATGTTTTTTTAGAATTTACTGGGGTGTGTGGGGGGGTGGGTAGTGTTGTGGGTGGTGTGGGTAGTGGGTGGGGGTGTGTGTGTGTGTGTGGTGTGTGGGGTGTGTGTGTGGTGTGGGTGTGGTGTAGTATTGTGTGGTGGGTGTGTGGGTGTGTGTGTGTGTGTGGGTGTGGTGGTGGTGTGTGGTGGTGGTGTGTGTGGTGGTGGTGTGTGTGTGTGTGTGTGTGTGTGGGTGGTGTGTGTGGGTGTGTGTGGGTGGTGTGGGTGTGTGTGGTGGTGTGGGTGTGGTGTGGTGTGTGTAGTGTGTGTGTGTGGTGGTGTGTGGGTGTGTGGTGTGTGGGTGTGTGGTGTGGTGGTGGTGTGTGTGGGTTGTGGGTGGTGTGGGTGTGTGGTGTGTGTGTGTGGTGTTGTGTGGTGTGTGTTGTGGTGTTGTGGGTGTGTGGTGGTGTTGTGGTGGTGGTTTGTGGGTGTGGGTGGTGTGTGGTGTGTGGTGTGTGTGGTGTGGTGTGGGTGTTGTGTGTGGTGTAGGGTGTAAGGGTGGTGTGTGTGGTGTGTGGTGGTGGTGTGGTGTGTGGTGTGTGGTGTTGTGTGGTTGGGTGGTGGTGTGTGTGTAGTGTGTGTGTGTGTGTGTTGTGTGGTGTGTGTGGGTGGGTGGTGGGTGGTGTGGGTGTGTGTGTGGGTGGTGGGGTGGGTGTGGGGTGGTGTGTGTGGTGTAGGGTGGTGTGTGGTGTTATTAGTGTGGTGTGTGGTGTGTGTGTGTGTGTGGTGTGGTGTGTGTGTGTGGTGTTGTGGGTGGTGTGTGGGTGTGTGTGTAGTGTGTGGGTGTGGTGTTGTGGGTGGTGTGTGGTGTGTGGTGTGTGTGTGGTGTTGTGGGTGTGGTGTGTGGTGTGTGGGTGTGTTGTGGGTGTGTGTGGGTGTGGAGTGGTGTGGGGTGGTGTTGTGGTGTGTGGGGTGTAGTGTTGTTGGTGGTGTGTAGTGTGTGGTGTTGTGGGTGTGGGTGTGGGTGGGTGTGTGTAGGTTGTGGGTGTGTGTGGGTGTGGGTGTGTGGTAGTGGTGTGGTGGTAGTGTAGTGGTGTGGGTGTGGTGGTGTAGGTGGTGTTGTGGGTGGTGTGTGGGTGTGGGTGTGTTGTGGGTGGGGTGTGTGTGTGTAGTGTTGTGGGTGGTGTGTGTAGTGTTGTGGGTGGTGTGTGTAGTGTTGTGGGTGGTGTGTGGGTGTAGTGTTGTGGGTGGTGTGTGGGTGTAGTGTTGTGGGTGGTGTGTGGGTGTGTGTTGTGGGGGGTGTGTGGGTACTTGTGTACTTGCCTCAAATTCGTGAACAAGTTCTTACTTGATCAATATTTTAAGGTTCTCTTTGACAGTCCCAGATTGTAGTCAAAAGTGTCTTTTGTTGGATGCAAGTTTAGCTAAGGCCTCAACTCTATCGTGTTCACTAATGCCTATGTTAGAGGGGATCCACAGCAGCTTGATCCTGAACCCCCGTCAACAAGACACATATGCTTGAGTCTGGCTTCAGAGACAAGCGGGTGACAATCTGAGTTTAGGGTATCAAGAGCAAGTAGTGAGGATAAGGAGTCAGTGATGATGAGACTGTTAGTGGCAGTGTCTTCAACAAGTAGTTCAGTTTGGCAAGTATGGCAACAGTTTGTAGAGTGGATGTCCAGTTACTAATTGTAGCTCCTCTCTCTATTACATTACCGTTATATTGAGTGACAATGGCAGCACTTCCAGCCCTCACACAGTGTAGATGGTCTGTGTGATGTTTTTGTCAGTCTGTAGGTTATGTATGTGTTCAAGAGCTCTCACTTTGGCAGTGTGTTGGAGATAAGGATTATATGTGGTCAGTCTTTAAGGCACGTACCTGTGCGTGGGCGGTGTACCTGTGTGTGGGCGTTGTACCTGTGTGTGGGCGGTGTACCTGTGTGTGGGCGGTGTACCTGTGTGTGGGCGGTGTACCTGTGTGTGGGCGTTGTTAAGTTGAAGGGAACCGTCTGCCAAGGTGTCAGGAAGCGTTGGTGTTGTGTGAATGTGTAGTGTTGTGGGCGTGTGTAGTGTTGTGGGCGTGTGTAGTGTCGTGGGCGTGTGTAGTGTTGTGGGCGCGTGCGGTGTTGTGTGAATGTCGTGTATTTAGGGAGGCGAGGAAACCCTAGAATGTGGTGGGCGTGTTGTGGGCGTAGTCGCGCGCCCACTAATACACTTACACTGGTTACACCCATTATATACCTTCTCCATACCTACCTGTACACACACACACACACACACACACAGACCTGTTAGTGCAGGTTTGGAATGTTTGGGGATCTCTCTCTACATCGCCTTTTTTTATTCTTTATTCCTCTCCTCTCTTTATCTTTAATGCTCTCTGTCTCTCTTTTCCATTTCTCTCTTTTCCGTCTTTTTCTCATACGGTCTCTTTCTCTCTGTCTTTTTTAGTGTCTGTGTCTTTTTTTAACTTTGTCGGTCTTTGCCTGTTTTCTTTTTTTGTCTATCTTTCTGTCAATCTTTCTTTCTGTCTTTCACTTTGTCTGCCTGCCTTTTTGTATCGTCTCTCTGTCTGCCTGTATCTTTTTCTAACTTTATATCTCTGTCTGTCTTTCTATCTGTCTCGTGTACAGTTTCCTTTCAGTTTAAAATCTCTACAGACTTCACTTGACCAGTCTTATATAACAAATACCAAAGACGTCAACAAAGGCCTTTATCCCCATATTTACTGAACTAACATCTACAGTAGGACATTGACACATTTTTATGACCTCAATAACACCAATGGTCAATGATTACGGAGTATTTATTTGGTATTAAAAAGTAGTGCTAATTTTTCTCAGTTTACCATGATATTTTTTGTCATTTTCTGTAGTGGCTGATTCATAGAAAACGTTAATAGTAATAATAGTATCAATGGTGATGACACTAATAACACCTATAGTATCGATAATAACAAAAGTAATAATAGTAATCGCCTCAATATTAGTAATACTATTCCACTAAATGCAAAATTGTAGCGATAAAACAAAAATAACGCCTATAAAACACTATTAACCCGATAACAACACATAAAACCTTGATGATAACAGAAACATCAACATCCAGGAAGCATCATACCCTTGGCAACACCATCGTAAAGAGTAGCGCCTCTAGCGGTGGGATCAAGAACTACCGGAAGTTGCCAGAAGTCGCTTAGCCTCTTCACAAATTTACTTAAAATGACAATGTTTACCTCGCTTAAACCTGGAGTAGTACACTGAATCTCTTATATGGGTTAAACTTACGAGAATATAGTGTTTTATCGTGCGAGAAGCCGGGTGACGTTATGTGAGTACTAAATATCATTTTATGAGTGGTAATATTTAGAAGGGGAGATATTTATTATTATTATTGTTATTATTATTATTACTGTATCGTATTTTGTCAGATATTCTGCATATATTTGTTATAATATAAACGTGTTTACATTTTTCCCATGACGTCACGTTGTACAGTATGTCTGTCCTGTTTACCAATTTCTTCCCTATTTTATTATTCATTTATTCTTTTAACACTTCATATATTTGGGTTTTCATAAGAATTTATGTCTCTTTCTG